AAATAAAAATACAAAACTAAATTGCTAAAAGCCAAAATGAAAAAGGGGACAGAAAGAAGAAAAACTTATGTTATCTGCCCCTTTTAACTAAAATAACATCGATACAAATGAACCAATCATATGATTCTTGAAGAAATTTTAACTCAGGATAAAAAAGAATAGCAAACAACCAGTTAGAAATGGCAGTATCCAGGTGTTTTTGAAAAGCTTTTGTGGTAGACACACAGAAGCTGTCAAAAACTGTGACCACACCCTGGCAGCCATTTTTCGATTAACGATTATACACCGTATAAGTACACCTTAACCAAATACTACACCACAAATAAAGATTATACACACATACACACACCCTAACCAAAATACTACACCACAAATAACGATTATACACACGTATACACACACCCAACCAAACACTACACCACAAATAATGATTATACACATACTCTAACCAAATACTACACCACAAATAATGATTATACACACGTGTACACACACGCTTACCAAATACTACACCACAAATAACGATTATACACACGTATACACACACCCTAACCAAATATTACACCACAAATAACAATTATACACACGTATACACACACCCTAACCAAATAGTACACCACAAATAACGATTATACACATGTACACACACCCTAACCAAATACTACACCACAAATAAAGATTATACACACATACACACACCCTAACCAAAATACTACACCACAAATAATGATTATACACACGTATACACACACCCTAACCAAATACTACACCACAAATAATGATTAAACACATACTCTAACCAAATACTACACCACAAATAATGATTATACACAGGTGTACACACACGCTAACCAAATACTACACCACAAATAACGATTATACACACGTATACACACACCCTAACCAAATAATACACCACAAATAACAATTATACACACGTATACACACACCCTAACCAAATACTACACCACAAATAACGATTATACACATGTACACACACCCTAACCAAATACTACACCACAAATAACGATTATACACACGTATACACACACCCTAGCCAAATATTACACCACAAATAACAATTATACACACGTATACACACACCCTAACCAAATACTACACCACAAATAATGATTATACACACGTATACACACACGCTAACCAAATACTACACCACAAATAACGATTATACACACGTATACACACACCCTAACCAAATATTACACCACAAATAACAATTATACACACGTACACGCATCCTAACCAAATACTACACCACAAATAATGATTATACACATGTACACACACCCTAACCAAATACTGCACCACAAATAACGATTTTACACACGTTCACACACACCTTAACCAAATACTACACTACAAATAATGATTATACACACATATACACACCCTAACCAAATACTACACCTCAAATAACGATTCTACACACGTATACACACACCCTAACCAAATACTACACCACAAATAACGATTATACACATGTAAGCGCCTGTCTGCTGCGCGGGCCGAACGCTTTTGGAGCTCTCGGATGGAAAGCTCTGTGTTCCACGGGGTTCTCCCCAGCGGTCAGCCCGGTGTATCTCTGACTCAGAAGCTCCGGTGTTGTGCACAGTTAACTGTAGCTAGGTAGCTACCTCCGTTAGCTTAGCTCCCACCTCCGCGTTAGCTTTGGGTTAGCTTGTAGCTACACTGCTTCAGTTCGACGGGTGTTGTCATTTGATCCCAGCCTTACAGCCCCACCCTCAGCTCCACCTCTTTTCCCTTTTGTGGAATTGTCTGGGCTTGACGGAACCTGTGACACGGTCAAAATTGAGGTGGTGGGAACCTCCCATTTTGGCAAAAAAATTATAATTGGAGCCTATGGACACAAATTGTCCAGTATATATGTCAATGTCCGAGCCTCTCCCAGATGACTGAGCGTCTCACCCTTTCAGCTGCTTCTATCCGTGATCTCGTTCTTTGGGTCACTAGCCAAAGCTCATGACCATAGGTGAGGGTAGGAACGTAGATCGACCGGTAAATCGAGAGCCTGACCCTGAGAAGAACCCAGTTTCCATCACTGTGGCAGTCTCAGGTATGACACACTGGACAGCACGAGGCCTGACACACCTACTGACTGCCTGGCAGCACAACAGAACCAGCTGCTAAAGAATGGGACTCAACCGTCACTAATTGAAGGGAGAACAATTGTGATCATGAAGGACCCCTCAAAGAGTACAGTCCCATCGACCAATAACCTGTCTCTCCACAACATGGAAGCTCATGTCAGGCTAATTGCACAAGTCTCCACCAAATGTGGAATAGACCCCCTGTCCACACTGCTGTTCTACATGTGTCTGAACCCCCTCAGCCAAACGATCATCGAGTCTGGTTATGGATACCAACTCAAGTATGGAACCTCAATCAGCCACCTCCTCTACATGGATGACATAAAGCTGAACGCCAAGAGCAAACTGATGTGTAAAGGATGGCAGCAACACCAGCAGGGGTGTGATGAGAATGTTTCAGTAGGCCAGAAAGTTTGTCCAACAAAGAGTTGTGTTTTAACATTAGTTACGTATTGTTTTACTATTGATTGAAGCTTCTTATTCCATGCTGGGAATGTGGGGACTTTACAGACTCTTGAACATTAAACAATGAAAATCAGAAATCAACAAATAAAAGTCAACTCCGTAGGAGTCGGATCTCAGTAGTTGGTTCCACCAAGGGGCGCTCCAGAAGATTTTGATAGGGGTGGCCAGACGTGGCCAAAGGAAATTTTGGGGTGGCACACCAAATTCCCGGTGGTATCTCCAGGAGAGCTACCACAGCTGGAACGTCGTATTGTGCCCTTAATCTTTCGTAATAAAAACCAATATTTCTCCAAAACACTTAACTCAAATTTGAGAAACGTAAACATTTCAGAAAAATACATTTCATTTATTTGAAATGTATTTTCAACATTTGAGAATTTTCTTTTTTAGTTTAATTCACCTGCAGCTCTCCACTAAAAACTGGAGAAATAAACTGTTTTAATTTGTGAGCAGCAGAAACATATATCATTTTTTCTTATTCTGATTTTTTCTTTATGCATCATTTGTATCATTATTGTTGGGTTTTACATTTATCTCTTGAACAAATAGGATGAATTTATGGTTTGAGTGAATATTTAATGATTTATTAACACTGGTCTTCCCTGCCGCTCTTTATTTCAGCTATGTTTTGTTCAAAATGGTCGTGTTGACAATGAAATTGAGGATTCATGCTTCCTGCTGCTGACCAACTTTATGGAGATGCAGATTTAGTTTTCCAACAGGCACCTGCACACAGTGCCAAAGCTACCAGGACCCCATGCTATCCCTGTTCTTGACTGGCCAGCAAACTGCCTGACCGTAACCATAAAAGATCTCTGGGGTTGGACGAGGAAGATGCAACACACCAGACCCAGCAGTTCAGAAGAGCTGAAGGCCACATCAGAGCAACATGGGCTCTCATGACACCTGAGCAGCACCACAGACTGGACTCCACGCTGCAGTAATCCAGGCTAAAGGAGCCCCCGCTACATACCGAGGGCTGTACAAGTTCATACTTTTCAGTTGGCCAACATTTCTAAATGTCCTTTGTCTGCGCTGGTTTTAATGTTCTAATACTCGATACTGAATTTGGAATTTCATTAGTCGTCACTTATAAAACTTCTGAAACATCAGCGTGGAACAAATGAACCTAATATACAAGTTTCACTTTTTCACAATATTCTCATCGGATGTCCAGCACTTGTGGATGGCCCCCAGTAAAACCTTCTCAGTGACCTGCGGTAGTACGAGTCCGCCCTGGGGCTGGGAGATTGGCCGCGTTCTGGTCGTAGCAGACTTTAAAATGGGACCCGATGCCTTGAAGAGTTAAATCAACAAATAGTTCCTGAGTGCTGCCATGTCTGCAGCACACCAGGCCTGTTCCCGGAATTCCAGGTGATTCCAACAGAAAACAAGACGCTCCCATTAGCATTCAATGGATTTATTCATCTGTTCAGTCCCTTAACAAACATGGGGGGAGGGGTCACATGACCAAATTCAAGGTTGCACAAAATAAAGTTATTATACCCACCTGAGGTCTCACACACACTCTCACAAACACACACACACATACCCTGTCTTTCTTTCTCTCTCTCTCACACACACACACACACACACACACACACACACACACACACACACACACACACCGAGTCTCTCTCACACGCATGCACACACACACCCTGTCTCTCACACACACCCTCTGTCTCTCTCTAACGCATGCACACACACACCCGATCTCTCTCTCACACACACGCACACACTGTCTCTCTCTCACACACATGTACACACACACACCCTGTCTCTCTCTCTCACACACACACACCCTGTCTCTCTCTCACACGCATGCACACACACACTGACCTCGACCCTCTCTTACCTGAACTCGTGACTCTTCTGACTCAGAGGCTCCAGGTTAACTGACTACATGACTGACAGGATCTAGACTAGATGTTCTTCATCACTCTGGTTCTGGTGGTACAGGAGTGCGCAGGAGGAGACCCAGCTTCTCTCCTCCCTCACATGTCCTGTTGGTTTGATCACAGGCAGCTCAGGAGTTCTGACCCGGTTCTGCTGCTTATGCTCCAGCAGCTCTGGGTTCAACAATTCATTTGAAATAAAAGGAAAGCAGCAGCAGGACAACGGGCAGAGTCCAGAACTGCCTGGGAGTCTAAATGGACCGGAACCAGCTTTAAGACTTCTGGGTCAGGTTAGGTTAACTACATCACAGTTCCCTAAAAGTCACATAAAAGCAAACGGGACAAACATCTGTGCAGTCTGGTGAAGGAGCAGCTCCTCCTCCTCAGGACCAGGAGGTCCAGTCTCTTCCCAACATTCCTTTTACACTTCCAAAATGAAGCGAGCGTTCCAAAGTGGATGACGAGGAGCAGGGCAGAGTCACAGGGAGGGGGAGGCAGGGGGAGGAGTCTCATTCAGTGGCCTTCAGGGAGAAGGAGAGCTTGGGTCTGGACTTTCCCCGACCCAGGATGATTTTCTGCTCCTCCTTCTGCTGCCTCTGACGGTCCTGCTCCAGCTTCATGCGCTCCTCATGGATCTTTCTCTGCTCCTCCACAATCCGTAGCTGCTCCTCAGCCTGTCAGCAGAAACACCGGGTCAGAACCAACCTCACCATCCCACCGGGTCAGAACCAACCCACCTGCAGCTAAAAACTCTAGAGGCCGGCCAGTACATCGGGCCAATATTTTCTATTTTTTTTCTACACTGGCCATCGCATCAGGCAGATGTGTGGCCACTACTAGACTGAAGGACCTGTACGTAAAAGGAAGGTTCTAGGTTCATTCTCGTCTCACTGACTGCAGAGGGACAGATGTCTCTCAGAGGATGGATGCAAAAGGACAGAGAAGAAGAGGAGCACGTACCAGCTTAGCCTGAGCTTCGGCGATCTTGCGGTTATTCTCCTCCAAGATTTTTTCCAGCTCCTCTCGCTTAGATTTTTCTTCCTCCTACACGGATGACACGGTGACATGTTATCATAGAAACATGCTAGCACCACAGAGCACGCACGCACACACACATGCACACACACACACGCACACACACACACACACACACACACACATACACACACATCCCATTCAGCCTCTCTGTGCCTGAGTAGTTTTACACAAACAGAAAGAATCTGCAGACATGAGGGCCTCCCTCTGCTACACCTGCTCTGGTTAAGGTGGTCATACACTCCGCCCACTCATCACTCACACAGGCCAGGTACGTGACACACAGGCTAAAGGAAACATCTGCTGCTTCTTTATAAACAAGAAAAGAAGATGAAGAAGGAGGGAAGAGTTTTGGCTCACCGATGCACGGATACCTACGCACTTTCCTTTTGTGTGAACCTACTGAAATCATTCAGCGTTAAACGGTTGAATATTTACTGTCGGCTCCAGACTGCAGCCCCTCCTGGGGTGGGAGCGGGGCAGGGGCTCTGCTGACTGTTTACATTTTGTTTTTCCTCGTCTCTGCAGTGGTTCGGTGTGTGTGTGTGTGCGCGTGCGTGTGTGTGTGTGTGTGTGTGTGTGTGTGTGTGTGTGTGTGTGTGTGTGTGTTGCAGCAGGGCCTGGCCATGGCACACTTACAGTACAGGACACAAGTCACAGGTGAGCTGAACGCCTGCAGGTCAGCTCAGGTCAAGAGCTAGTTAGGGAGGTGTGTGTCCAAAAACAACAAAATAATTAAAAACAACAAATGAGACAGAGCCGCCGCCCTGAGGGAGAAGCAGGTCAGCACACAGAACATCACACATGTGGGAAAATAATCAGAATCATCATCAGACACAGGTCAGAGGTCAGGCTGCTCCAGCTTCAGTCACATCCAACAGGAGGTTCTTAAAAAGACACGTTAAAAGCTGCCGGGGCGCCCGTCTGTGAAGTAAACACGTGATTAACACAGAAGCTCTTATTCTGAAAGAATAAGACAGGAAGTGGCCTGAACCTGAAGTAGTGAAGAGACAAGTCTGGGTCAGAGAGACGAAGACAGGAAGGAGCTACATTTGGGTCGAGCCAATCACAAGTCAGCGTCTCTAGCCTAACCCAATCCCAATCCTAATCCCAATCTGAACGATGACACAAGCAGCCTGATGTAGTCTGTTAATTTATCCGCTGCTGCTTGAAGCAGGAATATCTGGATTTCTGTCAGTCCCAGAAGGAAACCTGCTGGACCCTGCTTTGCTTGGAGCTGTTGGAAAACCAAACACTTCCGGCTTCACTGCTGGAATTCTGAAAGATTCTGGGAAAAGACCCGGAGTTCACGTGGATAAAATGCTTTTTTTTCTCCAGCCTAGTACTCAGACGTTCTACAGAATGTTCCTGTTGTTCTTCGACATTCCACAAACAGCTGATCAGCACTAATAAACGCGTTTCTGACGTGAGACACGTCATAGCTGAGGAGGTGAGAGCAGGAGACAGGGCAGGTGAGGGGAGGAGAGGAGGAAAGGGGCTGCATTCCAAACGACCGAGCGTTACCTCTCTGGCTTTCTGCGCTGCCAGCTCGGCCTGCCGCTGCCTCTCCAGCTCCTCCAGCAGCTGGCGTTCCATAATCCGCTTGGCCTCCTCCACGCGCCGCAGCACCTCCCGCTCAATCTCGTCTTTACGCTTCTCCAGCTCCTCCTCCACCCGCTTGGCCACCAGCTCCTCCACTCGTCGTGCTGTCTCCTCCTCGATTAGCTTCTCCTCAATCTCCTGCTGCCGGCTGGAAAACAGGAAAGAGATCCAATCCAATCCAATCCAATCCAATTTTATTTATAAAGCACATTCACAAGGCATTACAACCAAACAAGGCGCTGTACACTAAAAATGTTGGTTAATTAAACCGGCGTTATACAAACGCCTGCAGGTCAGCTCAGGTCAAGAGCTAGTTAGGGAGGTGTGTGTCCAAAAACAACAAAATAATTAAAAACAACAAATGAGACAGAGCCGCCGCCCTGAGGGAGAAGCAGGTCAGCACACAGAACATCACACATGTGGGAAAATAATCAGAATCATCATCAGACACAGGTCAGAGGTCAGGCTGCTCCAGCTTCAGTCACATCCAGCAGGAGGTTCTTAAAAAGAGATTGAAAATGGGAGCGTTAGGAAAGACAAATGGAAGTTCCTGCAAAGATTGTCCAAGTGAATGTCCTCACTGTGGGATTAACGATGTCTATTCTATTTCTTTATCAGGCTTCCTTCAGCATTTTTACCTTCAGAACCAGAAGAGTTTTCAAGCCATATGTAAAAGAAAGGAAGAAAACCATCACTGATGTAGAGCCTCAAGATAAAAATCACGAGGCTCTTCACAAAAAAACACATTCAAGTATAAAAAGATTCTAAACATATCTGGTTCTACAGGTCATGGGAGGGTTCGGTTGGAATAATCTTTACCAGGTAATGACATTTACTAAATGGAAGAATGAATAAACCATAAAAACTTCCACTTTTGTTTCTATAGCGACATAATTAAGTATCCTGCCAGGCGTAATGATGTCATTAATAACCTGATCTGTGAATCTTTGGTCGTGCTCCAGATGAGCCAGTTCTGTGCAGATTACACCACCGGTGATCGGCGCGCAGTGCATGCTGGTTAGATTTGTGTCAGCCTTAACGCCGACTTGCTCTGATGTCATGCCTACGTAGGCAACGATAACCTTGTGAGATCAAGGCGGCTACAGATTTTGGAGCAAGGCGCTGCAGTTGCTCTCTACCAGCTGACAAACCTAAGGGATGATGGGAAACGCCTGGATCTGATTGGTTCTCATTTTGATCCAAACATCCAGTGGTAGAATGCTAAATGTTAGTTGGTCACATGCATTCTATAAATCACGTTGATGACAACTATATAGGCCTTAAAGAGAAATGTGTTTTGTTTTATCACGTTTCCTAAGAGCACGGCAAAACTACATATGATACCCTTTACCTCTTATTACAGTCATGTCTATGTATGCACATGTCTACTATATATGATATCCACAAGCATGTGAGGATGTTTCAGTTGCTAACAAGCACCAGAACATTACACTATTATGTACGCGATACCTTGTCTTGCCGCACCTTATAGCCTTATGTGCATTAAAATCAGAACATAGACATGAAATAGTTCATGAATAAAAACCTGTAAGCAAAGCCCTTTTTCTGCACAGATTATCTAAAGGCATTGAGGTTGTTAATATTTACACCAGTTGTTGTTTTTGTTGTTGAGAATTTTATTTTTTATTATAGTTTCTCAACAACACTTGTTTGTTCTAGTTTGTTTGCTGGTTGGTGTGCATTTTTCATTTGAAAAACTTGATAATAAAACATTTTCTACAATTTTATGAACTTTGTCATAATTCTGTCCTGGGTTTCACCTATAAAATAATAAAACAAAAACACTTAAGGTCAAGAAAATGATATGAGATTTAGCAATTTAATGATGCGTCCATCTTACTTATTGAAAAATATCGGTATCGTTATTGGCGATACTGGCTATCTCAAAAGCACGCCGGCTTTTAGCCACTCCCCCTAAAGCGTTTGTCTGCTCGTCTCTTTTCCAGGCTGCTCACCTGCAACAAGGCCTTTAATACCAATGCTAAAACACCGAGCTAAAACTAGCCTGTTAGCATTAGCACTTAGCTTCATCCCATTCAAATGAAGGCAGCGGGCCTAGCTACTAGCTTAGCGCACCGCCGCTATGCTACATTAGCTCATGTATTTATGACTGAACCCACATCTTCCTCTGTCTCTCCATCTCTGCCCGCCGCTCCTCTTCCTCCTTCCTCTGCTTCTCGTCCAGCGCGGTTCTCTTGCTCAGCGTCCGGCCGAAGATGTCGATGCGCTCCGGGGGAGACGCTGCTCGCTCTCTGCGGGACGAGGCTGTGGTAGACCGGGACCGGGAGCGGGACTCTCTGCGCCGGTTCCTCTTAGACTCCCGGGACTTGGATCGCTTCTTAGACCTCTCCCTGTCCCTGGATCGGGACCGAGACCGGCTCCGTTTCTTGCTGTGCTTGCTGCTTTTGGAGTGTTTGGACCGGGACGAGCTGCGGCTCCGTGATCGGCCCATGACGGTCCGCTCCTGTTTTAGCGCTGATTTCTGCTCCGAACCAGGGCCTCCGGAACTTCTGCTGCTCCGCAAACTCCCTTCTTACGCAACCGAACCCAGAAAATTCGCTCTGACGGATCTTTTTTATTCCGAATCACATTTATCTGCGCATCTTTATTCTTAATAACTCGAAACTAGGAAAGATGGCGGATTGTCGAAGTTGTTATTTCCCAGCAGGCACCGGGGCTCTCGGCTCTCTCCGTGGGTCTTCGGCTTAGGCAGCAACTGAATGAAGTTCCTGTCTGATTTGCAGGCGGAGGTTTGATTCAGACCGTCCCCGTTTAGTTAAGATGAGACTTTATTGATCCCACAATGGGGAAAACATCATTATGTTTTTGTTTATGGCGCCAAATCACGATAAGAATCGTGTCAAGGCGCTTCGTGAGAACCTGTTTATTCCTCCTTTTCTACACAACTATCTGTATTACTGAATGGGTGTGAACCAACTTGCGGCTCGGGGCCCATTTGTGGCCCTCGGAGTGATTCTGTGTGGCTCCTGCTGAGTGGAGCTTTTCCAGGCTCATGTTTTTCCAGTACAAGGGGTACCAATTGTACCAATAAACCATTTCTTAATAAAAGTATTTTTGCATTTAACAAAGAAAAAAATTCAATCTTTTTGTCCAACGAAGACTTTTAACTTTATGACTGAAGAATAAAGGAACCGTCTGCGCCTAACGTTTGTTTTTAAGTAACCTGCTGGGTAAACTAAAGCCTTTGATATTTAGTTGAATAAAGTGCTTAAAGAACCATCCTTGATTGTTTATTTGTTATATCCATCAGCTCTGCAGGTTCTGCGCCTTTACTCACCTGTCAGCTAATCATCTCACCTGTTCCCTCTCACTAACCATCGCCCTACAGCTCTGGGCTCCTCCTGTTGCCGACAGCTGAGCTCAGCAGGCTGTTTGGAGTCTTTGCTTGTTAAGACGTTTGTTGTTTATCTTCCTCACCTGAAACAAGAAAATAGTTTCTCTGCATTCACATGATTTTTACAGAAAAAAAGTTTGGAGAACAATGGAACAAACTGAATACCAAGAGTTCCACATTAAATGCATGATTAAGAGTAGAAACTGCTGATTTTAGTCCCTCTTTGTTCTGTTCCTCCACACTAAACAAGGGAATCTGATGTTAATTTAACATTTTGTCTCCATTTGACCTGCATCTAATTTAGCTTTTGTCCGTTTCTAAATGCTGGTGCTGTTTCATCAGAGGCTAAAATGATGCTTTTATCTTAGCCTGTAAAAATAGAGCTTCAGATTACGCTCATGAGGCAGAAAAAACAAACTGACAATGGTACAAGTCAGCAAAGATCCCCATCCCATTCTGGCAAAATGAGGCCATTGTGATGGCTCTCCCCAGAGGGCTGCGCTCAAAATAAACTGCTTTACTAAATTTAAAACACTTGATGAAAGGTCCAGTGAATCAGCCTTAAAAAGGTCATCATTCAGCTGGAAAAAGACTTATTTTCCTAATTACCTGCAGCTTCGGCTAATTTTAGGAAGCAGAACTGAGTGGTTCAGAAGGTGTCGAGGTGTGGGTCTGATTGGATCTGAGAACATGTTTGTGTTGAACATCTGTCAGATTCAGGCTGGGAGCATTTCACTAAGACAAATATCTCCTGAATTAAAGAAAAGAGGATTTATGGGATGTTGGAGGCAGCATCCGAGCATCTTTTCATGTCTGAGCTTGAAGCCAAAGTCTTTGTGTTTGGGTTTTATTTGAGTGACTGTTTTTTTACTCCTGAAGATAAAGGCAGAGCTTTGTTTTTCATTTTGGAAAAGAGGTGGGAGAGGTGCTTTAAAGCTCCGTTTGATGAATAATAGAAACAGTTTCACGAAGGTGAGAGGAAGAGCAGCTCCAGAGGGGATCCTTGGTTCTGTCTAAAGAGTGTTATTGCTTTTTGATTTCCTGTTTGAGGGGTTACCTACACGCAAACTCAAGAGGGATAGTTCAGGCGTGACACCAGAATTAGATGTTGGTAAGACCTCGTGTGTCTGAGGAGTTAGAGCTGTGGTTCAGGTCTCCCAAAAGCAGAATCAGCATCCAACTAAAGCAGGAAGTCTCCGCTGGCCTCAAAATAAACCACAGCATAGATTTGATCCTTTCTTCAGTTTCTTCAAGGGTTTAAAATGATAAATAGAGCATTAAAAGATCTTGCTACACAAAATGCTAATGTTTGTGTAGCACCTAACAACCCCCCAAGTCACTTTACCAATTCTGTCTTTTGGGATAGGTGTTTACCTTTTTCTTTTCTTTCTTCCTTGACATTATCTATCAAATTTTTTCTTTCCCCCCATTTTTTTATTTTTGTTCTTGTGAAGCACCTTGTGATTTTTATATTGAGAGGTGCTATAAAAATGATAATTTCTTCTTATTCACAACACCCAGGCTTTCACACATTCACACACTAGTGGCGATGAGCTACATCGTAGCTGCCCTGGGCTGACTGACACGCACCACCGGTCCCTCTGACCACCACCGCCAGGCAACAAGGGCCCAGTCCCAATACTCACCCTACGGTCCTCAGCCAAGTGCACTTGGTGGAAGTGTGCAGTAGTGCTACGAGTGCGTAGTGCAAAGTGCGCCAAATTGGGACAGGCATCATTGAATCAACAACAGAACTCACACCGAGATGCCAGTCGCTGTTTGTTCTTTTAAAAAAATATTTATTACAACTTCAAACAAACAATAATTAGTTATTGCTGTCTACAGTAAATGTAAGTCAAAAACACCCTAGCTCTAATATAGAAGATCTGATTTTCCACAAACATTCCAAATGGTTTCTTTTTCTAACCAGAAGGGAAAATGATATTTTTCATTTAAATCTCAATATTTTATTGACTGTAAAATGCTACTGAATGGTATCAAAACAGGTGAAACAATTACTGGCATGTCGCGTGTAAAACACACACCGGCACTGTTATCAACAGACGGGACGCATCTTCCAACAGAGAAACATGATTGTAATCATAGATGTAAAAACTCGCAATCGTTATACTTGAAAACACAGATTTTCAGAAAAGGTACTTGAGCCATTGTTCCGCTTCTTCTCAAAATTCCCATGCAGCATTGGATTGTGGGTAATACATGCATCGATGCAGACTTCAGTGAAGTCCAGATCCAGGGTGCAAAAGGGGTGTGGTCAACTTCCGCACTTGAGAATTGGGACACCATACACACTTGCACCCTTGAACAGGAATGCACAATTTAAGGACACAAGACTGGAAGTGCGAGTACTGGAATTGGATCACGTGTGAAATGTCTTGCCCAAGGGCACAATGACTGAGCCTGACCAAGTGGGTTCATACCTGCAACCTTCCGATTATGGGGCGGGTACTTAGCTCCTCTGCCATCACCCGTCCAAATATGGTGTGAAAGGGTTCAAAAGCTGGTGAAGGTTCTCAGTCATCTAGGTCATGGTAATCCAAAAGGGTTCAAATGAAGGCAATGGGACCTCATCGGTTTCTTGAAGATGTCTAACCCTCTCAGGCGAACAACTTCCGCTTCCGGTCGGCAACAAGATGGCGCCTGTGCTTGGCTTAGCCACAGTCACCGGCCACTTTTTCAAACTTTTCTCCACTAACCTCCTCTTTTCCACCTTGCTCCTGTCTGCGATCCTCTTCAGTAGTGTCCCTGCTACCATCTCCTATGATCGCCAGACTCTTTTGTCCTTCCGTTCGTTCACGATTGCCCAAGATGCACCGGGGACGTACCTCCCTGTTTGTTTATCTGAGTGGCGCACTGGCTCGGAGCCAAACGACGGTCCCGAGCTGCGCACCTCCGGCTATGTTTATCCGGTACCGGGAAAACGTCGAAGGAAAAGAGGTAAACGATCAGGAATCCAGGTGAGAATAAGACTTCTCTTAAGGCGTGGTTTATCTAGTAAATATCGGCGTGATCTTCTAGCTTCTTGTCCTTTGTTTGGTGACCTGAGCACCACTTCCGCATTCCTGCCAGGCCGCGTTGCGGCGCGGTTCATCCGTCCAAGTTTTTTAAGGTCGGTTTATCCTCATTCCTCAGTGGTTTCTCCTCCTGTTCCCTCCATAAGTGTTTTTTATGAACACTGTGGATCTAACCCTGCTAATTTACGTCCACTAGCTCCAGCTGTTTCTGTAGTTTCTGATTCCTCCACCTCATTCAGCATGGCTCTATTAAATACCCGCTCTGTTAACAATAAGTCCTTCCTGCTCAATGATTTAATTCTCTCTAAAAACCTGGATTTTCTGTTTCTGACTGAAGTTTGGCAGCAAATATCTGATTATTCTGGTCTGATTGAACTCTGCCCGAGTGGTTATTCTTTTCTTAGCCAGCCCCGGGGTTCTGGTCTTGGTGGAGGCCAAGCTGTTGTTTTTAGAGACCATCTTCCATGTAGCTCTACAACCTCTGGTCACTTTGCTTCCTTTGAACTTCAGCTGATTAAAGTCGGGCGTAAGGACCCGTTCTACTGTGCTGTGGTCTATCGACCACCTGGTCCAAACAGTTCTTTCCTTCAAGTTTAGTGACTTTCTATCCTCCACTGTGAAGCTGTCCAGACTGGTGATTGTTGGTGACTTTAACATCCATGTTGATGATCCCTCCGATCACTTAGCCATGAATTTCTCCAGCCTTATGGACTCCTTCAGCTTTACCCAGCATGTTTCTGGCCCCACACACACCAGGGGGCACACTCTAGACCTTGTTTTTACCCTGAGTCTAAATGCTGACAGTGTTTGTCCTGAGGACGTTTATATTTCAGATCACCATTGCATTTTCTTTAACTTGTCAGTTTCTGCGTCCCCACCTCCTGCTCGCCGTCTGATTAGTTCTCGTTTTCTTAATGAGAGCACAGCTAGCAATTTTTCTGCTGATTTTGATCCACCCTTTTCTTCTGATAACGACCCAGATTCCTTAACTTCTCAGTTTAACAAGCACTGCCTCTCCACTCTGGACAACATCTGTCCTGTCAGAACCAGATCAGTTCCTGCAGTGAACCCTACTCCCTGGTTTAATGACAGCCTTCGCAGCCAGAAGCGCCAGTGCAGAAAAATTGAGCGCTTGTGGAAGAAAACCCATCCCCACGTCCATCTGCTGCACCTAAAGGATCTTCTGACATCCTTTAACTCTGCAGTCAGAGACGCCAGGGTTTCCTATTTCTCCAACCTGGTGTCCCAGAGCAAAGGGAACCCCAAGGTGCTGTTTAACACCATCAGCAGCATCGAGTCTCCTGCCTCTCC